ACTAAGGAGCTATTTTTATCTTCACTTCATAGATGAGGACATTGAAACTTAGATCTGGAAGCTAACTTTACCAACATCACAGAGCCAGGGTTTGAATCCAGGCCTACATGACTTCAAAATCAAGATTGTTTAGTTGGCCTCCACTTAACCAACTCACCAATATAACAGATAACATTCCTTCCTTCTGTAAAACCTAAACTGAGATCAACAGCTCTCCTGAGTGCTCAAAGCTCAGGAATGTCTCTGTGCTTTTGCTCCCACTAGTCAAAAGTTAGCTATTTACTAGCAGGCAGAACTTGTCAGCTGTACTTACTATTCTTGTAATTATGTGTTTTAATAAAATATTAAGTGCTCCGATGTCATATGAGTATAAAGGAAGTTGTGTCCATGAAAATGAGATGAAATGCTTTGGGAAGAGTCAGTAAAGATTGGTAGCTCAAGAAAATTACATATGAGAAGGAAACGTAAAAGAGACAGACCATAAACATCTAGAGGAATTTTGCATTCATTTTGCTTTGCAAGTATCTTTTCCATCCATTTTAAGACCCTGTAGTAATTCTGTAGATTGTATGCTATGATTCTGGTTTATATAAGAAAGAGGGCATGAAACATCAGCAGGCCCATAAGCCAAATCTTTCGACGGAGACTTCTGTGCATTTGCCCAGGGTGAGCACGTTATGAGAGAAAAGAAGAGACAAAAACTTTGCAGCTCGCTAGAGACAGGTGCAAGTCTTCAGAGTGAATTGACTGAAAACATTCAAAGATGTGGAAGGTGAATTTCAATGCAACAGGATTACGCACCAACATTTTTGGCTAGGGAAATATGATAGGAATGTATTCCCATTTTTTATCTGATAAAGCTTTACTTTCTGTAGACTGCAAGCTGCATAGTATAGAAGAAAGAGCATGGGCTTTGGAATATGTTAGCTTCAACAACATAACTAATTGTCTGACGTTGGGTAAAGTCTCTGAGTCTCAGTTTCCTCTAATTACAATGGCATAGTAATACCGATATCATACAGTCTTTGAGGAATGTAGTATTGGGCACACAGTAAGTTACAAAGGGATTGCTACTCATTTTTTTGCACCGTTGGGAAAACAATAAAAAGGTATAAGATATTAATCAAGAAGGTAGATGAGCTGTGAAAGGGAACCCTTACTATCTCTGTCAATTCTTACACTAAGAACTATTCTTGCTTCCTTTAAAACGGATTTTCAGGTTGGGACAAAAGACTTTCAGGAGTCTCTGTTTACTTGAAAGATACTGAATCTGGCCAGAAATAAAGAGAAAGGAGATGGACACCAATGGAAATACTTTGTTGTGGCATATTTTTTTTTTTGATGCAATATTGTCCATCTTCCTCTGTAAATGTCAGATTCAATCCAACTACTTTTGAGGTTTATGAAATTCTGCTAACCTATTCTTCCATGTAATTTATTTTCAGATTAACCATAAAAGTGATGTCTATTTTCAATGCACATAGAACAATCAAGAGAACACATTATTTTTAATCTACTAAATGTAACTTTTTAACTTCTAGATGTTTATGAGGTTCTGTAGTAAATACATCCTTTATTATAAAGCCTATTTATGTTGGGAGTGGTAAATGATCAGCAAGAGAGATTAGCAAGATAGGGTTTTTTTTTTTAATTTTTATTTAAATTCCAGTTAGTTAATATACAGTATATTAGTTCAGGTGTACAATATAGTGATTCAGCACTTCCATACAACACCCAGTGCTCTTCACAACAAGAGCAATTCTTAGTCTCCATCCCCTATTTCCCCCATTCCCCAACCAACTCCCCTCTGGTAACCATCGCTTTGTTCTCTGTAGTTAAGAGTCAGTTTCTTGGTTTGCCTCTCTCTTTTTTTCCCTTGCTCATTTGTTCTGTTTTTTTTTTTTTTTCAATTCCACTTGGCATGATAGTTTTATTTTATTAAATATGTATTTATTTGAGAGAGAGAGAGAGAGTGTGTGCACATGCAGGAGGGGGAGGGGTGGGGGGAGGGAGAGAAAAATCTCATGTAGACTCCCTGCTGAGAGCAGAGCCCCGTGCAAGGCTCAGTCCCACAACCCTGAGACATTGAGATCACCACCTGAGCCTAAACCAAGGGTTGGACACTTAACCGACTGTGCCACTCAGGCGCGCTGGCACGATAGTTTTTAAACACCCTATCCAGAACCTCTAAGTGATAAGTAGAATCAAGACACTAAAAGACGTTATCTTGACCTTAGTATGCTTCTAAGACTAATTAGAAAGAGAAAACATTAGTAGGTAGAAAGATGACCGATAAAAAGAATTTCAGCAGAATTGCAGATAATTTGGATATTGAGGAGAGGAGACTGATAAAGTAAAAAAATGAATCACGAGGAAGAATTCTTAATAACTTTTATTTATGAACATAATTTTGATAACTAAAATGGATGACAAAGCCAGAACTATACTTAGAAATAAGAAGTACATATATTGTACATATATTGTATATACTTCACTATACACTATAAGAAGTGTTATTCACTATAAGAAGTGTTATTCACTATAAGAAGTGTTAAAAAATAAAAGTGACAGAATACTGCCTTCTTAACAAATGCCTTTTGCAATTCACTTTTTTAAATATATATATTATTGAAAACCTCCTTAGGGGGTTATAGATATTACCAAACAAGTGCAATAGGCATTCTTGGATATATCCTTTTAAAAATATTTGTTGAGATCCTGTTATATGTCAGGCCCCATTCTAGGCACATGTTTGTATTCATTCCCTTACACATAGTGAAGAAGTGTTTTCAAGCTGGCAAAGGGAAATCAAGTTGATCATTTCAACTTTATGTTTAAAGTGTGCCACATTGATATCAGACTTTAAATTTAGCTTAAGATTTTATGGAGTCATTCAGGAAATTCATCAAATTGATGATGTAGAAGTGAGTTTAATATACCTGGTTTAGGCCTTTATAATAAAGGCGTGGCTTTGCTGCTAGTTGTAATTGGGATTAAAAACAAGCCCACCCAGTCTAATATCTCTAAACCAAAACTTTCATCAAGGTATCAAGATTGTGTCCTTCCCAGCCTTACTACATTTCTATTAATTAACACCACTGGAATTCACAAAATAGCTATTGGTTCTAAAAATATATATAAATAGGAGATGAGTTAATTTACAGAATATCACAAAAAGTCATACCAAATCTGGAATTAGGGTTCTTCTAAGATTTATAGGATCTAATCATACCAACAAGTGGGAGCTACCTAGAATCAGCAGCCCCCACTGCTTAGCTACCTTCTCCTGCCAGTGCCAGAGACACTCAGAATGGTATTTAGAGCTTACACATTTTCAGACTAGTTCCTGAAGAGTCCAGGAGTTCCGAGTACTGAGGAGCTATTTCAACCCAGAGATACACTGAACTTACCTCTATACGCAAATGCCACTGAAGTCAAGGTCTTCATGACACTAGCCTTCATATGAGGAAGTAGTGTCTGCAGGATGCTGAGGCAGTTTGTCCATCCTGGTCAGATGCCTTACTGGAAGTTGTGCCTACCTCTGGGCTCCATAATTTAAAACAAGTGTGGAGAATTTCGAGAGAAGTCTGAGCAGAGGCACAAAGACAATGACAGAGAATGAGATCTAGGAGGAAATCAGAATTATTTTACTTGGAAAGGAGAAATCAGAATGGCAATTTAATAATGGTCTTTCATACATTAGGAATTACTACATTGAGGTTAATGACCAGATTTCCTTCATGTGCGAAACAGTAAAAGAAATAAGATTTCGGCTTTCGTAAGAAGAATATAGTATGGAACCAAAAGAAAAAAAACAGCACTCAGATGCTAAGCCTATTTAATCAAAGGAATAGATCACTCCACACACTTTATGGAAGTGTTTTTGAAGGCAACCTGATTTCCTGTCTGTTTTATATATTATATGTAATGCTACCTGAAAGAACAAGAACACATTAAATGAACTTTGTTTTTTGACCCCGTGAATCCATGATTCATCTTTAAATTATATCATAAGGTATAGATTTCAAGCAATTATTTTGAATTAGAGCCTCATAGCTTGGTCCTGCCAAGAAAGGAGCTATTTTCTAATAATGTTAAGGAAGTTAGTGGTATGGAGGAACATTTACCCCAGGGGCCATGAACTCACATAGCTACAGGGGTCTGTGGGTACCATGAAGGAGTGAAGCCAGCAGCATACAACAATACAGAGTTATGAAAGTTCTGGTGTATTTGAAGGTGTGTGACCCATCCCAAAGGGGCAACCACTGCTAACTAGCCGATTGTTTTCACGGCACAACATCCCCGTATTGCCAGATCTTTGGCTTTCTCAAGAAAAACTGGAAATCTGGAATCTCATGTGATTTTTTTTATTTAACATCAACAAAATACTAAGATTTATCAAAATGCTACGTAGGCAAAGCAATACACCTCTGTGGGCTATAAGTTAGAAACCTCTGGTTTTCGTTTAGGTCACTAGTTAACCAACACATTAGTTAGCAAACAAAACAAAGCTGATTGAACTCTAAAGCTTAGGAGAATCCATCTGCTAAACCTTCGTGTAAGGCTTCCTTAAGGTCCTTTCCAGCTCTGTGAATCTTTTGATCTCCCCTTCCTTCTTCCCTGCTCTCCGTATTGGGTGACTTACTCACACAGTGGTGGGGATTTATAGGAATTACTTGTTTCCCTTAGCATTATAAGTTTATTTCGCAAAACCATCACATACTTAGATGGAAAACAACTTTTGTTGCTATACTAAAGATGCTGCTGATGCTATTAGATTTTTAGGAGTGCACTTACATATGGCATAGACATGTCACTTTGGATCTTTGAACTAACATTTGTTTATAACATTGGCTGCATGAGGCATGCTTGACTTAAAAGCCTACTTACACTTTACCATTTGGTGACATATTTTATTTCTCTTTTATAAAATATTTTCAAATAACCCACTTCTACCTGGGGTAAGGATAGCTGGATCTCTGAAATCCCCTTCCTTTCAGACAGGAGAATATGCCACAGATGAAGAGGAGGATGAAGTAGGACCTGTTCTTCCTGGCGGTGACATGGCCATTGAAGTCTTTGAGCTACCTGAAAATGAGGACATGTTTTCCCCATCGGAACTGGACACAAGCAAGCTCAGTCACAAGTTCAAAGAGGTAAGTTGCTGATCTGCAAAATACTTTTCTATACCTTTCCATGTTATTATTAAGTCTGTATTTTTTGTTTGAAAAATGTATTGAGAAGAGTCAGTTTTCAAAAGAAAGCCTTTTGATAACAGATTGTCTTGAATTTCATTGAATTTCAAGGTAAAATTTAAGTAGATCTCATTCCACAACCATTAACTTTTAAATGCTTGTTGTTTGTTACAGTGATAGCTTATGACTGGTCTGTTCTTCCATATTTTCAAGCTGTAGCTTAAATGTGCAATTTTCGTGATAAGTTCAGGTTATATTTTTTCAGTTTTATAGAATTTGGGGGACCTGATGTTAATCTTTCCTCTAAGGCAGTAATTTCTTAGAAAGGTTTTTTTTTTCTTTTCCTAAAATAGACAAGATCCCAAAAGGAATCAAATGACATACCTAAGTAGTTTAATTGAAGAAATTAAAGTTTAATGAATGATATTTGAACAGAGTTAGTAGAACTACCCAGGGATGGCGAGGTGCACAGGGACTGGTAACAGCAGGAAGTTGTTGCAACTTCCTCCCGAAAGAAGGTCTTAATGGGTAAAGAGGAAAAGAGATTCCTTCCCCCCCTCCCGCCCCACCCCGAAGAAGGGCATCTTTATAAGATGCAGCCACTGCTAAAAACTACATTTGGGGACAAGGGTGGTATACACTCATCCCCTTCTCTCCTCCTGCGAATGCCTCCAATCGGCCAAACCCAGGCAGGAGTCTAACGAGGTCAGTCTCCCGAGGCAGCCACAGTCAGAAAAGGGCCAAGAATGGATCCCGAAAGGGCAGATAGATGCAGGTAACACATACATTCATCTTCCAAATTAACCCCTCAGAACTCCAACATGTAAAACAGAAACAGTGATGAATGGGTCCCCAAACAGTTTATTATTCATTGTTTTAGGAAACATCCTCCATTGTCAAGGCAAGTGTGTCATTATTTACAGCCTCCCCACAATAACCCTGAGGCACTAAAGCTCTCTGGTTTCGGGCCTGTTAGGGACTTGACCATTTGGAAGAAAAAGTTCTCCTATACGTGAAAAACAAGGTTGATCACTGCAAATGTATAATTTCTAATTTTATTTCTGATTTCTAATTTTCTTTCACTTATAATTTCTAATTTGGATGTATCATAAATAGTTCAGTTTTATATGTTCTGATGTTATACCTACCATGCCTAATATATTGACTTGCCTTTTTAATTCCTTATGATAAACTTAAACTTGTGAGACCAGTATCAAAGTAAGTGTACTTTTAAAATGTAAATTTTTATTTAAAAAAACCTTAGGTTTATTATAGAATTTTGGAAAATGCACATTTGTATAAATGCCAAAAATATCATTCATGAGCCTAATTTTGTGGTATTTGGGATTACAGAATACATACTGGGTTAAATTCCTACTCTTGATACACGTATAATTGTGTTACTAGGATTTTCTCATGTCATCAAATGTTCTTCCATAAATGATGTTTATTTACTATATGTATCTCTTATCATTGATCTACTTAATTTTTTGTCTTGGAACATTTCCTTTGTTTCCAGGTCTTAAAAAATTATTATTCTTAAAAGTCACACTGCAATTGATATGTGTGTACTTATCCTTCGGATAATTTCTCACAGTGGAATTATTAGACCAAAGAATATGAGTATTTGGGGGACTTGTGGTACTTCCAGGTTGCCACCAGAATAGCTTTTCTTGGTGATAGAGAAATTTATTTATGCCACTCAGTGTGTTCAGTGCCCATTTCTCTCCCACCTATTATTATTTGTTAGGTTGGACCATTTCCATTTGTATAGTTCACAGAGTCCTTGAGGCAAAATACATGGGTTTTCCAGATGATTTATGACTATTCCTAGTTCAAAATCAGATACAAACATCTTGGGGACAAAGGAAATACACTATTCTATAATGATCGCAAAACTCAGAATTCCCTTACAGTAGGAGTAGCAAGACTTCTCATAGGGCTAGTTCTTATAAAGGCTTTCTGCATTAACTGATATCTTCAAACCCAAGAGCAGTGCAGAAAAAGAGTGTTCTACTGGAAGTGGCTGAGTGTGAGGAAGAGGCAATCTAGGGACCTCTTTCTCTGCAGCTCTGATTTGGCACATGGATACAGGTTATCTAGGAGAGTAGATGGACCACTTGTTCTTTAAAAAAAATCTTTCTTCAATGTTGTAACTCTCAATCCAGCTTTGAGGCGGTGAAGTCTAAGTAGTGTATCTGGGCAAAAGCCTCTAATACAGCTTTTCCATGTTGCCAAATGAGTATGGCCCTACTTTTTGATAGATAATTGAGCTGGAAGTGGGGTCCACATTCTTTTATGGAAGCTAAAGAGTATAAAAAGCAGAAACAGTATATGGAAGTTTATATCCTCCATTTTCTGAATTGAGCCAAGGACTGCGTGCTCTGTAAATACTGTTTTAGGTGTACTCCATTGTGAAGACAACTGCATGGTGTAGACCCAGGGGTTGACAAACCTGTGACCTATTGGCCAAACCTAACCCACTGCCTTTTGTTGTGAATAAAGTTGTATTCAATACTGCCATGGTTATTTAGTTATTTAGTTATTGTTTGTGGCTGCTTTTGTGCTACAATAATAGCCAAGTTAAGTAGTTGCACAGAGACCATGTGACCTGCAAATCCTAAATTATTCGCCATCTGACTTTTTGCAGAAAATGATGGTTGACTTTGGTGTAGGCCACTGCGCGATCTGGACCCATTCTGTGTAACACAGCTGATTTATTTTTAGCCTGAGTACCAAAACTACCAAATCTGGAGTTTTCTTTTAATTTGGGTTTTTAAGAACTGGAGGTTTGTCCTCACCTCAAGATCAAGCAGATATACCACATTATTTCACTTCTAATTCTTGTATTCTCTTTTATTATGTATTTAACATATTAATATATTCATTTCTTCAGGAGATTGCCACTGAGTATCAGTGGCATTTGTCACAACATTTGTATCTTATACACTGCCACTTTCACAGTTTTAAATTTCTTTATGTGATTAACATAAATGCCTAAATACTTACAGCACTAGATATTTTTCACAAGCTTATGTACAAGATGTGGGATGGAGATGGAGAATCATGTGTATTGGAGTCTGTACAATGTCTCCTATTACAGAGGGTTCTCTTAATTGCATTATATGAAACAAGTACATGTCGTACTCTTTTGAGTAAAGCACATTAGACTGACATTATCTCCATCAGTCCTCCTTTTGGCCTATTACCTGTCTTCCTACCAGCCTCTCAGCTCCTCTGTTTTTGCTCGCTCTTATATCCTGTTTTCTCATAGTTCTTGACATATGGTTAGTGGTTAAATATTTGGTGAATGAATGGCATAAAGCATATCCTGGAAGTTGTTGTATAATTCAAGACAGGTACCTAATTTAATTTCTCCCAAGTAGTTGACAAGATAGCTAGCACTTTTATTAAATGCTCATTTCCACATTTCCCTCTGCTTGGAAGGCCAGCATTATTATCTACAGAATTGGTGCCTTTACACTCTGGCCTGCTTTTGGCCTTTATATTCTGTTCTGTTTTCTCATTCTTTAGTGCAATGCTGTTAGAATGTATATTAAAGGGGAAAACATTGATGGAATAAATCAGATTCATCTAACTCTTCAAAAATTCCTGTAGTGTTCAACCTATTCAAGAAAACATTTGAATCACTTTATTAATTCCCTTGGAAAAACTTCTTTGCATTTTTATTGTAATTACATTGAACTACTAAATTAACTTGCAGAGAGCTGGCATTTTTATCACATTGACTCTTTTAATCCAAGTTTATGGAATGTATCTGTTCAATTCAAGTCTTTTTTTTCTGACCCTCTCTAAAATTTTATAGTCCCCTCTATTAGTTACACAGGCAGCCACCTATAAGTAACAGAACATCTAACTAGAGTGGATTAATCAAAAGCTGCCACAAAGGTTACATTAGCTTCAATATAAGTTAAGATGTTTTCTCTATTTTCAGAAACGACTTTTGTAAGAGAGACTTAATGACTTGCATAAAATAGAAATTTCTGTTCCCTAGAAGTTTATTATTACTCAGCTATAAAACCATCTGTGCCTTTGTGGAGGAAGATTTTAAAAACCTTTTATAAAGCTATTACTCTCTTCAAGTTTTCAAGCTCTTCTTGGGCCAGTTTTGGTATTTTGCATTTGCATGTGCATTTGCACTCAAAAAAGTTCTGTATTTCCTCTAAGCATTCAAATTTTCTAACATTTTTATAATATACTTTTAAAATACTGAAATCTTTACTATCTATAGTTATTCTTGTTTCATTCTTTCTTTATTTGAATATTTTTTTAGTTGTTTTTCTAGAATTTTTGTCTGTCTTGTTAACCTTTACATTCCTAATTTTTTAAATTGAAAAAGTACTTATTATTTCCTACCAGTATCTTAATTTTTCCTCCTTTCTTGTTTCAGTATTGATCAATTGCATTTAGTACATTTATTTTTGATAATTCTTACATTCTGATAAATGTATTTAAAGCTATACTTTTTCTAAATATTGATTTTTAGCTACATGTTACAATTTTTTACATTTAGCATGCATTGTCCTTTGGATGTAATTTCTCTTGGAATTTCCTCTTTTTTTTTTAAGATCTTATTTATTTGAGAGGAAGAGAGAATGAGCAGGGGTGAGGAGCAGAGAGAGAGAGAAGCAGAATCCCTGCTGAGCAGGAAGCCCGATGACATAGGGCTCAATCCCAGGCCTCAGAGATCATGACCTGAGCCAAAGGCAGACGCTTAACTCACTGAACAGGCAGCCCAAGGTTTTCTCTTTAATACAAGAATGACTTAGTGATATATTTTACTTTCCAGACATATGTAGCTTTAGTTTGTTACCTTTTGTTACCAGATTTTAATTTTATCACATTCTGGTCAGAAAACATATTCCATATGATAGCTATTTAGAATTTTCAAGACTTCTTTTGTAGCTTAATTAACAAATAATTTTGTTTAAATAGTCCTC